TTTTTCGCGTAAATTTGTTTTAAGAAAACCCCCCAGAAAAAGCCATAGGGGTTAAATAAAGACTGCGTGGAGGCAATTTATGTCACTTCCTGGAATCAATTTTCCTGAGAAAATTTCACGAACTCGTGGCAGAGACGTATTGGACGTGTGTGACGTTGCTCCGTTCCTGCTGGAACCACGTTCTTTAGTTATGGCCAGGCAATTTTTGCAGTTCAGGCGCCAAGAAGTCGTTTAACATCTCCACATAACGCTCTGAATTCACTGTAAACTGCACGCCCCCTTTCGTCTTCAAAAAAGTAAGGGCCGATAATTCCTGGCGCCGACATCGCAGCCCATACTTTCACTTTAGGCAATTCTGCTTATTTACGTGTCCATTAACATGAAAATGAGCTTCATCCGAAAACAAGATGTTGGGTAAACGTTGGAAAAGCGCTCAATCGCCTGCCTGATTTACGCAAGTCAAGCCTCTGACTGGCATCTTGGGGCTTTAATTCTTGCACCAATTGAATTTTGTAGGGGTGCAGCTTTAGGTCTTTTGTGCAAAATGCGGTGTAATGATGATCTATGCACATTTAAAGCACTTGCGCGCTTCCGAATTGAAAGGTTTGGGTCGTCACGAAGAGACTGATTAACACTCTCCACGTTTTCTACCGTTCTTGATGACCTTGGTCGCCCGGATTTAGTTTTTTCAGCGTTTACCGGTCTCTTTAAACTTTTTGACCCATTTTCGAATAAGAGGAATGCTTGGCGCATCATTTAAATGGCGAAAACCTCGAACACTACAGAACCTTCTACGCGCTACAGTCGCCGAATCACCGTTTTTGTAAAACTCTCGCACGCACAACGCACGGTCTGCTCCCGAGAAACGCTCCATAGCAACTGAATTTCCCAAGAGCCAGGCTACCGATTGACATAACCCCCGCGCCCCTCGGACTCGTTGCGTTCACGCAGTAAGCTAAACAAATATAAACTTTCTTTTGAGACACCTTGTACTTTAGGGTGTTGTAGTAGCTACTATTTTTTGGACTTAACCATTTTAATGATTTTTATAAAAATTGCCTAAATTTTGCCTAATACATTTTATTTTAGAACTTATATCCTTATTTTTTTACCGTTTTTATTGTAGTTAACTTTACAAACTTTGCCGAAATAGATGGTGATAATAGCAAAAACGAAATATATAATAAGTTTTTTTCATTGTGGAATATTTAAAAAAAGAACGTGTAACAATATAGGCGGTAGTCCTGCTCACCGTACGTATTTTCGGCTCGTCGTACGTACATCCAAGTGCAAAATAACAGCCATGAAGTTTCCAGAGATTCATTTTGAATACATTTAATTTTCAACTTTTGTTATTTTATCACTTAAAAGTTAAAAATAATAAATATATGAGGTTAATCAAAAAGTTCATAGAATGAATATAAAAATATCAGAAATTGAAATAAAAATATTTATTCTTTAAATAAGCTCCTCTAATCATAGAATACCGCTTCTCTTACTATCTTATTCCTTCTGCACGTCATTACAGGACTGTTTTTATATTGTTTGTTTTAAACTGAATTTATCTCTACTACCTAAAGTTTCAGGTACAAAAGGAACTATTGATAATGGTGGACAAGAATTTCACACGCCCTGATGCACTTGAAATTTATGTGCCATCTTTAAAACACCTTTGTAGATATACAATTCGTAGCCATTTCAGAAAAATGAGAAACGAGAGGTTCGCCAAGAGAATTCACCACCTCAACATTTATAAGAACAATTAATGAATTACCTCTCCCAGCTGTTGTTAAGAAATACTTAAGATATATTAGCAATTGAGCGATAAACGAGAGGATATTTAATAATTGATATTAATGTTGTATTATTTCAATATAATCTCATAATCGTTAACCATCGTATATGTACAAATAAGGAACCTTGCTTGTTAAAAGAGATTGAGGCTGATATTAATTACTTTCTTGTGAATCTTCTAAGGTAAAATAAAAAATACAAGTTATTCAAAAATGTCTTTATACTTACATAAATATGTACATACTTATATATTTTACAGTTGAACATATTATAATTTGTACATTATCTCTGATTAGGTTAAGTTCTGAATATTACTTGGTTTTAAAGTTAGCTCCATCAGCCATATGCTTTTCGATTTCAGCAACTCTGCAAAGAAAAAAAGTCCAATAATAAAAAGCATATTAACGGGTTATAAGAAAACTAGCTGGTATAGTAAAACATCTGGTATTTATTTGGGTTGCTTGGTTGGTTGCTGCTCTTCAACTCCCGCACTCGGGCGCGATGATCGTTAGGGGTCATAAGAGGGTACAGCACGATTTCTTTTAAAATAGCAAGTCTCTTACCGGACACTCTGGCATACTTGAAAGCTACCCTTTTACCAATGGTGCGGGGACTGTTTGGACAAACTTTTGCATCAACTTTGGAAAAATTACGTTTTCTAACCAATTTTCTCAGTAAGTTATATTATTTTATTGTAAACTTTCTTTTTTTAAATCTCCAGTTTTGTTAGTACCGACGCGTTTTTTTTATAAAATTCTTTTTAAAGAACTCTTTCATTTTAAATGCTCCCCCAATTTAATTATTAAATTAAAGGGGAACAGGAGAAAACGAATGTTACAATATCACACTCACTGGTGTAAATTGAAACTTTAGTGAAATGACATTTTAGCATGGGTTCTGTTTTAATAAAAATTTCTTTTTCCGTGGATTGCAGAAACAAAACCTTTCGCTTTTTTCCTTTTTCCTTTTTTTCCCTTTTTATTTTTTCAACTCATTTACTTAAAAAAAAATTTTATCATACGTTTCAGTACAAATGGAGTCATCAACAAAATTTTCCTTTTATACCAACTGCTCACATGCTTAAATGGGGAAACAGTAAACTGTTTTTGGTATACCCGCAGCCGTTGCTTACACTTAGAAAAAAAAAAAAAACAAATCTTATGGTTCTTACGTTCTAGGCACAAAAGTTGGTTCTCCCCCTTCCTCAGTTTAAGCCATCATCCTCATACTCACCTCCAAATTTTTTAAACTTTTTGCATTTTCCCCCATTTTAGGAATACAGATGTCTGGATTGTTTTGGGCCCCAAATAAAAAAGCTATGGAACAGAAATGAAGGATTTCTTTTTTATCTTTTTTTTTATGAAATTTAATCTAGAATAACTATATTCCTTCGTATGGCCCATGTTTTTTTAAAATTTTGAAAATAAAGAAATTATTTTATAAAAAAAGGGCCTTAAAGAATTGAAATATTTGAACCCGAGGGGTGATTTTACAAACATACATTTAGGGACAAAACTAAACTCAAAATACTATTTGTGGGAAAATTTTAGGGATCTGGATCATGTCGATTCGTTAAATAGAGACTTGACTATAAAATCCTTATGCTATAGTTTTACATAAAACCGAAGCTGCGGCGAAAGCCGGTAGTTTTGTGGACGCTACGTAGGTCACTATTTTTTTTGAGATGCTCGAAATTTTAAAAAGGGAAACCCCACCGTTCATATATTTTTAAAAGGAAAATTTATTTAAAAATAAAACACAAAAGGTCATTCACAGCATTTATTTCCTGTTTTCCCTGCCTTTTTGATATGGGCGGTCTGATCGGGAAACCCCAAATTTTCGAGGTTTTAAAACGAATTTAAAAGGGGGAAAACTACCTTGAAATGATGCAGAATGGACACCCGCCAACAGCAGTCCTGTTAAACATGTGTGGACCACTGAAATTCTACCCACTACCCACAATTACTTACAGGAAAAAAAAAGGAAAAAAATTTGGGCTCATTTCGGTTAGTGTTTACACCATATTAATGAACATCTTAGAATGAGGAACTTTGTAGTCTTTGGGATCCTCGTTTCCCTTTTTCGAAACGGAAAAATGAAGCCCGTGGGGAAAGGGCCTTTTATGCGTTACGTTTTGAAGTTTGAAAACCCCGGGCGGCACTTGAAAAAAAAATGTTACCCCGGAAGTGGACATCTTGAAACATTAATGTAGAAAATTTTATGGTCGTACCTCAGAATGGTACAAAACATCGCATTCCCAAAAAGTTTTTAAAGTGGCAAGGAGCGACCGAGACCGGCCCCGGGGTAGATACTGCACCACACATGCGTCTTAAAAATTCTCCCTCGGAAAAAAGGGCTTTTTTTTAGGGCATTTTACGGCCCCGACTCGTCCTCTTGATTCTCTTTTTTCCCCACCATAAAAGAAGATTTTTTTTTTCATGCCGAGAAGCGGTGGAACGAATCCCATTTTTGCCCATCGGGGAAGACTGAAAAGTGTTTCCTTTTTAGGCGGATGGGCGATTCGTATAGAGCGATGGGAAGTATTTTGGAAAACTAAAAAAATAAATTGAAAGAAATTAAAAAAAGTTATATTGTTTACTTTGCGTGTCTAAAAATGTTATAGTGACGTAGGGTAAACGAAGCCGTATTTTGGTGTGGAAGAAAGTCACCCTGGTAAAGTAGCGCCGGGCTCGAGGGTGAGCCATCCCGGGCTGCGCCGGCGCGCCGTGGCCAGCCGGGCGAGCCCCCGGCCGCCGCGGGGGGCAGTGCCCAGGTACCCGCCCACGTCGTCACTCCGCCCCAAGGGGCCCAGCCCGTGGGGCCAGCACCCGTCACCCCGTTCTGCCCCCCCCCATTTTTTACATCACGATCTTTTTTTATTTTTTTTAACTTTTTACCCTTAGAGTTTTATTTTCTGTTCGAATTAAAGTCGAAGACCCCACGTTTCCGTTGAGCGATGTCTCGGACATTACCCCCGACTCCCGCTCGGGTTTTTACGGGACGATGAGATTTTTTATGTAGATGGCGAAAAAATAACGATACCTTTTCCTTAAAATTTTTTCCATTAAAATAATATAAAATTTCCATTATCAGTGAGTCGTTTACTTTTTTTTATTCGACCAGTGAATTCGATAAGTGCGGTAAAAAAATATTGAAAGCGGGGTAGCTACTGCCCGGGCCGTCCTTCAACCCGAGCGCCCCGTTTTTTTAAAATTTTGTTTTTTAAAAACTGTTGCTTTTCTTTACTTTTTCATACTTTTTTACAATCGAGTTCACCCGAAATCCGTAATTTTTTTTTAAAAAATTCTCGAAATTCGGGAAAAGAAAATATGCGGGATCGATTTCGCTATACCCAACGCAGATACCCAAAATTCTTACATCTGTTAAAAATCCCCAAAAATTATGACCTATGTCAAAATAAACCTTTATCATGTTTCAAATCACCTTTCGGGAGATTGCCTTTTTTAAAGTGATCGGCATCGCTCTGTTAGGGGTAAAAATGCCTTTCCTGCCACTTACACCTGGTTTAGCTTCTCTGTAAATATAAAAAAAACTTTGTTTTTTTGACCAAACTCAAAATTTGGGGGAACATAAAAAAACCCAAAAAATACCCTTACGGAAAACCTAAATTTTAAAAATAGCCATATAAAAAAAGGCGTTTTTTTTTGGGGTTCCGTACCCTATTACTTAAAACTCCGCGTCCGCCGTCTAAAAAAAATACTAAAAAACAGAATAAAAAAAAAAATATTTTAAGGGGGGCGCCCATAAAAAAAACTTGTTTTTTTGCTCTTTTTTCTATCACCTACAGTACAATTTTTTTCTTTTTCATATTCTAAAAAAAAATGGGGGGGTTTTCAAAACTATTTTTAACAATAAGTATTTTTTTATCCAAATAAAAACTTTATACGTTGTGCTTAATCTTGATCAAAAACCTGCCACAGCATATCATTAAATGAAAATCTTAGCAGAATCAGAGATTTTAAAATAGGGGCCAATACCCCCGGCCGCGGCCACCCGGAAAGTACGGGCCCATAAATTTCAACTACTGACCCGGGGGAACTTCGTACCGCCTTAGCGTAGCAATATGCCTACTTTTTTTTTGTAAGTGACCTATCTTAGGTATGATACCTATTCAATTTTAACGAATCTTAATATCCCCCCTTTTAAAAAGCTAATTCCCTGGCTCGCTTACCTGAAAAGGCCTTACAATTTAATTAAATAAAAAAAAAAATATTATTCAAATAGTGTTTTTTTCCTAGATTCAATAATCCATAATGTTTTTTTCAACGCTATTGAACAACTTGCATTTTTTTAAATTAAAAAACAGCTCAATCCCCCGCGCCTCTAGAAAAACAACCCCAATAGTCTCTGTACCCTTCACTGCTTCTCTCTACTTAATGCTTTTTTATAAACTATATTTTTAGTTTTATTTCTGGCGCGTAAATAAATAATGTTTTAGGTTTTTCCAAACGGGACAGGCGACATATAATTTTGGGCCCTGGAAAACATGGATTTAGTCCAAAAGCAACAATTTGATTGAACTGTATCAATTGCCCCATTATAACTGAATGCGCTCTGGGGGGATTAACACAACATTTTTCTTGATATCGATTTCCCTTCAAGTTCATTTCGCGCTTCGCGTTGCTCATCAGTTTGATTTGCTCTTATATTTTTTTTGACTGCCCCTATTTCGATTCTGGGCTAAGCTTTTACGTCCCGGTTGGTGCATTTTTTAAAAAAAAAAAATCCAACTGAAAATAAAAAGCTCTCAACATTTTCGTAGGACCATGTATACCAATTTATAGTAGGGGTAGTCACCAAAAATTTACTAAAAACAATTAAAACTGGAACTTACCGTGATTAACAAACACTTAATTGCAAACAAAAAACTTCTTTTCTTTTTAAAAAAAAACAAAATTTAACAAAAACTTTTTAAACTATTGTTGGCGCGGTTTTTGGTGTGTGTCACAGATTAGTGATGGTTTTCCGAGTACCTAACCCGAGGTACTCGAGTTGGACTAACTCGATCTACTCGAGTTGAATATCTCTAATTCGGTTCGAAAAAAATTTTAAAACATATAATTTAGCTAAAAAAATATTCTTTGTGATACTAAATTTTCTTATTTTCTTGAAAATATTGTGATTACTGATTATAAAAAAGTTTGATTGATAGAAATTTTTTTTAAATACTTAAATAAATGATTGGATTTCATCGAGTTAAATCGAGTAATTTTTTTCCGAGTTTTCACATCCTATAACAATTACCCCGATTTTTTTTTATAAAGCCAATGTACTACACGATTACTAAAAGGTTTTTGCGAAGTTTTTAAATGCGTTCTGAACAAAACTCTATACTCAACCACACTTAGGTGCGCCCCCATATTTTACCTTAGTAACGTCATAAAATCGGAACATTTAATAATTTTATCTAACATAACTATTTCCCTGGCGGTTATTTTCAAAATTAATTAGAATTTAATTAAGTAACCAAGTTTTCCCCGAACAAAAAAACGCTCTTTCAAAAATAGTCTATGGCTGTGAAAACATTGGCTGCGTTCAAGTTTATAAATTCTTTTGGGGAAACTTGCATACTTGTGCAAAAACTTAAAGTAACTATATTATTTATTTTTTAATCTATAAGAAAAAAATATAATAAAAAAACTGCAAAAATATTTAAAATGTGTCCCTAAAATTTAATTTTTTTTTAGATAAAGTCAGCCCCTGCTCAGAAATTAGTAAACCCGAACGCAGCCATTGACATTCGTTCGCGGTTTTTTTAAATATGCAAAATTAAAAGTATATTTTTAATATTTCTGAGAGATTCCTAAAAAAAAAATTTTCGTAAAACCTTTTTCCCAATAAAACAAATACAAAAAAAAAAAGAATTTGTGAAAATCGGTCCAGCCATTCACGGTGTCCGGACCAAGGAAAACGGGTTTCATTTTTTTATTAAAATATAAAAATTCCCGTAGTATTCTTTTCATAATAATATATAAATTTAAATTTTCCCCTGAACTATATTTAAAGGTATCTAATTTCACCCGTGCGAAACGCTAGTTTTTTAATTTGGGCAGGACTTTAATTTTATGCCCACTCCTTTTTTTTTGGGATTTTTTGACAATCGAGCGGGGCGGGTTTTTCCTGTTTGGGAAATTACTACCCCAGTCACTTACCACAGGCAATCCGTCCCCGCGGCGGGCCCATTGCACCTCCATCAAGAAAAAACAGATTTAGGCAGTTTGGGTTTGGTCGGGAAAAAAAAAAGTCCAGCCATATCCCGAAAATACTCTTGCATTGACGCAAGGATGGCATAGTGGGTTTAAAACGGTCGCCTTGCCGTTTCCTACCACGCTGAATGTTGTGAGTTCAATCCCCAATGGGGGAACACTTTGGGTTTATCTACAAATTTTGGTTCAAGCCTGGGTTTTTTTTGTGTTGTTTTATGAAGTTTGTAAAGTCTCCTGGCGAACCCATATATTTCTAATTAGGGTTGTTTTAAAAAAAAACCCATTATGACAAAAAGGGGACAAAAATGGGCGCAAAAAATAGTAAAAACCATTAAAAGCGTTTTAAACTCAAACCACAGTGCAGAACTTTTTGAAATTTTTTAAGAGACAAACCCAAACCCAAAATTTAAAAAGATAACGATAATTCACTGTCTACTTTATTTCATAGAATAATCACCTTAAAAAAGGGGTTCCTTGCGCCAGCACAGCCTCTAATAGTTTTTCTGTCTTCAGTAAATTGCCCTTTGGGGGGGAATGAAAAACGTTATGTCACACGTACCCCCCGTGTTGCCGCCCATGTAAAAACTGAAAATTTTCAAATATTAAATTTTTTTATTACTAAAAAAATTGAAATTATTTTCTTTTTAAAGGGACATTTGTAGGGGGGTCAATCAGGGGCCAAGACGAGCTGGCTAGGTTGCTGGTTAACTTATTCGGGGTTCCCCCTTTGCCCCAGCACGACTATTTTTTTTTTTACTTTATAATAGTATTGAAAAAGTAACTGTAAAAGTAACCCGATTTATGAACAAATAGCAAAACCCGCGGGGTTTCCCGCGTTGTTGTTATAACCCAGGGGAACGCCGGGGGAAAGCTAGTCTAAAAAATCCTCCCAAATCGACAGACAAAAAATTGTAAAAAAGAAAATTTTGGCATATGTACCGGTAAAAATACATTCTTTAGTAAAAAACGGTTATTTTAAAAATTACAAAAAACCTCCAATTTATTTATTTGTATGTACAATACACAAAAATATTTATCAAAAAAAAATTTTTTGGTTTTATTAAA